AATTTCAAAGAAAAATAATTGTGTTATTTTCACAACTATTGTAATATTGTTTTGAAAAAAACATTAATACAGAATTATAGAAACACAACTAGAAGTGCACTCAAGAAATTATTACTCCATATAATTTATTAAAAAATGTAGTGATTTATTAAAAATTATTATTAACAAAATGATCTAAAAAAGAGAAATACTCTAAAACAATTTGACTTTTGGTTTATATGCAAAAAAAAAATGTCTTCTCAAAATCCTATCATGTAGCCGTTAGCAGCCTAGCGGCGACCCAAACTTGCACATATGAAAAAACTTTTACCTTATAACAAAGATTAGTATGAACTCCAGTAAGGTGCGTTTGACACTGAGTTTAAGTATGTGAAAGTCATGCCAAATGAATATCACCTAAACGTACTTCAAAGTCAATATTAACAAATGAAAATGTATAATTAATTTATTAATTTAATATTTTAGTCGTAACGATTCGATTCAATATTTGTTTTTTGGAAACTCGTCTCGTGCCATTTCAAAAATTTTATAATTTGGTTAGGACTATAATTTACTAGACACAATTTTAAAAATCCACTTACATTCAGTACAATGTTGGTCTAATTTAGAACAATGTTACACTGTTATTGCACACCCCTATCCAAAACGCCAAAGGCTTACTTAAAGCACGTGGAAAATGAAGCCATGAAACTTCATATGAGACATATGATACGGAGCAAAAGGAGATCACTTTAATTCATTTTTTCATATGAGACATATGATACGGAGCAAAAGGAGATCACTTTAATTCATTTTTTTCATATGAGACATATGATACGGAGCAAAAGGAGATCACTTTAATTCATCTTTTTCATATGAGACATATGATACGGAGCAAAAGGAGATCACTTTAATTCATTTTGTTTAATTCATTGGTCGTGGTCCATATGTACATAAGGAAAATTATAATACGGATCTATATTACACACACAGATATATATATATATATATATATATATATATATATATATATATATATATATATATATATATATATATATATATATATATATATATATCTGTGTGTGTGTGTGTAGACATTTACAATGATCTAACAGCTAGCTCATCAGATACCACGGTCAGTATCAGAGCTCATTGATAATTTTTGTTTGTATATTTTCATTCATAATTTGATAAAATAAAATATTTTTATCACCTTCTGTTTTATAGAGTTTTTTTATGTACTTTTAAATGATGTAAGTTATAATTTTTATTTCTATTCCAATTTATAAATAATTAAAAATGATGAGATTTTGCACATTGTTTATTTGTTTGAAGTGTGGTATCCAATATGAAACGGAGGATATATATTATACTCCCGTCCCACTGTATTTGTCGACTTTCATTTTTACACACCATCTAGTGCACTTCTTTAATCAATTTTATCTTGTAATTTGTATATTAAAAAATTATAAAAATTATATATTAATAATCTACGGAGTATATGTTAAGACAAATCAAACAAGATCACACATGACTATATTTAAGCTTACACATTAAAAGAATTTGATAAATCAAAGTGTTTAGATGAACAGTTCTAAAAGTCAAATGTGGACAAATACAGAGGGACGGAGGGAGTATAATGCACTGATTGTTAGATCATTGTAAATAAGCTTGGCCCAAACTAAAGAAGATCTCGACAAATACTCCAGGGTTAAATAGAATAGGACCAAAATAGGTCCAAAGTCGACTTGATCCATTAAGAAATGATTAGGCCTACAAACTATCAGACAACCGATAATAGAAGAGGCCTTACTGATTGGATATGCTTGTGCAGTTGTGCTGATAGAGTTAAGTTAAATATACCTTTAAAATGTAAACAAAAAAAGTGGAAAGTAGATCCAAGTACCACACAAATATAGAAACCACCCCACCAAACACAAATTTCATCCAAATAAAAATTATTATTAGTATTTTGGACAAATATTTAATAGTGTATAACTTTAAAAATTGTTAGGTTAAAATAATCTTTTTAAAACGTTAACGTTTTCAATCACTCTGACCAGACTCGTAAGCTGTTATATAACAACTTTTTGAGTTTCTACTTTGTCCAAAAGTAATTTTATGTGTTTGATAAGTCTATTTCTGATTGTGACATACAATTTCAGAGTGCTAGATTTGTTTTAAAAGTGATTTTTGTTAAAGTTCAAATTAAATACTCCGTAACTTTCAGGTTATGATTTCTGTTCAAAAAACACCTCATGCCAAACACTTTAAGTATATTACCTAAGTGTGTCATCATTAGAGTTGAATATATCTTTAAATGTAAACAAAAATGCTAAAAATTGGAAAGTGGGTTGTGGCTAGAGACGGTGAGATTCAAGTACCACATTCAAAGAAAACTACTGACCCGCCAAACACAATTGTCATCCAAACATCATAAATGTGATTAAGGGCAAGGTATTAAATATAGAGAATTAGGAAAAAATATTTTTTACTTGTAGCCCAAAAAAATAAATAATCCGTATAAAGTAGTTCTTCAATATAGAATACAAAAAAGTTTGAATAAAATTGAGAAAATCCTTGGCAAATTTGGTGTAGAGCTCATATGATAATACAATTACAAGAGTAATAGCTGCACTCCATTAGAAATAATTTCATACTTCCCTTCCCTTTTTGGCATATTTCCCTTTTTGGTATTCTATTTGCAAAATTGATGGTTCCTATAATCCTTCCTTCCTCCGAAACCCCTATCGTAGCCTCCCCCCACCCCCACCCCCACTTACCCCTTCCAAATGTGCGACAAGGGTGAGTAGGGGTGAGCATGGTACGGTATTTAGCTCGTACCGATACCGTACCAAATCTTTCGGTTCGGTATGGGATTTTACTCCGTACCGATCCCGATCCTGAAATATCGGTTCGGTATGGTTCGGGATGGTTCGGTTTCGGTTTCGGTACAAATCGGGATGGATATACACACCTACTTTACACCTTAAAACTTAACAACTCCCCTTTATTTTTGAAAATTTAAAATGAATTTAAATAAAAAAACATGAAAAATTTAAAAAATGAATATTTAAATGCAAGAGATGCGTATCAAAACTTAGTTTATATTTCACAAACTAAAAAAATGAACGACAACAAAAGAATATATTGAATCTTTGTGAATACTTTTATTTTCATACACAAAAACTAAAACTCAAATAAAAGTATAATTTATACATAATAGAACTTGAACCAATTTTTTTTTTAAATTATTATTTAGTGAAGGATTATAAAAATATTACTCCAGGATATTATTTTTTATAATATTTTAGTATATATGTTCGGTTCGGGATTTTCGGTATGGGAAGTCGCCTCGTACCGTTCCCAAATACCGTACCGACCATTCGGTTCGGTACGGTTCGGTTCCTTCTCGGTACTTTTTCGTTTTGGTATTTTTCGGTTCGGTATTCTCGATTTTTTCGGGAAACTTTGGTATCGGTTCGGTACATGCTCACCTCTAAGGGTGAGAGACTTAGGTTAGCGGTAAAAATTAATTAATTCATGTGCGAACGGAACATAAATAGTGTTTTAAATAGGCAAATATCATACAGTGAATATTAATGTCAACAAGATAACACTTTGGACATACTTTTTCTCTCTTCGGGATAAATTTCAAACATAGTTTAATTTTAAGCATTTTTAAGCACTTAACTTGATTTCCGTGAATTCAAAGTATCAAATGCCTAAGATTTTTTCAGAGAGAGTTTATAAAGTGGAACATAGAAGTGCTTGATCGGCTGATGCATGGGCCCATCTTCTTCAAATCTGAGGTAAATGACCCTGGCCCCCCGGATAAGGCCGTCATGACGTAAATGACCCTGGCAGGTCTCATGTAGTCAGTGAACACAAAGAAGGTGGCACAATAAGGGATGAGCCCTGGGGAGTGTAGGGCAATCCCGTTACAGATTGCTCCCATTCCGTGTTCCCCTGGAGTGTCCTTCTGGAAGTCACCAAAGCTTTTCAGAAGGGTCATGTTGGAGGAAACGAAATCGGCACTGCCTCCTAGGAAACCGGGATGAACCTTAGCAAGGGCATTGAGATTTTGCCGGGACAGGTTTCTGGTGGAATCTTCCGAGGGGCTCTCAGGAAAAAATTCAAAGAAGAAGTGTTGAAACTTGAAAGAACATAGAGTTTTTGGGATAAGTTATGTTCAAACTTCAAAGAAACAAATGATTTTTAGAGGGAGAAGAAAACACTTCTACAGTTTTTTTTTGTTTTTTGTTTTGAACACAGCACAATCTTATATTAACACAAACCAACATCCAAGAGTACATGATGTGCTATCTAATCAAGCTTTACCACCACTGTATCTAATACCCTTTTTTGTTATATATGTATGTATTAAGATTAAACCATATGTATGATAAGCTATTATTAACATCAAAAAACTCATGTGTGTGATGTTTCTTGTTCCTCACCTTCCAGACTGTATAGCAAATGGCTGCCCAAGCTGCTGTCCATACTGCCCTCTCCCTTCTGGTTCCTTTTCTCAAGTTATTCACACAAAAATCTTGTAGTGACTCCCCTCCTACCCCACATCCTAGCCCTGGTAGGATGTTCCCATATAGATTTTGTACATAATCACACTTCCAGAAAAGATGATCAAGGTCTTTAGTACCATTCTCACACATCACACATGCAGTGTTAAGAGATATATATCCGCTAAGTCTTTGCTTTGTTTGGAGTCTCCCTTTCATTAGTATCCACGCAAAGAACCTGTGTTTAGGTATAGATAACCTATTCCAGACAATATCACACCATGCATCTTTTGGGGTTTGTCCCATAAGCCAAGTGTATCCTTCCTCTGGTTTATATTCCTCAAGGATTGGCATAGCTGCAAACTCCTGTCTCACCTTGATCATTTTCCTCCAATAATGGCATGCATCATACTTGGGCATATACTCCCAAATTCCTTCATCCTTGATGTACCTGGAGTGGATCCATCTAACCCATAGGTTGTCCTTCTTGTTTGCTAGATCCCAATTGAGTTTCATAATAAGAGCCTTGTTCCAGGCTGTTAGGTTCCTGAAACCCAACCCAACCCAACACTTCTACAGTTCTACTAGTTAAGAAACCAAAAAAATTGGTCCTTTCTAAGAAATATTTATAAGTGCCTAAGAGAAGCTTAAAAAACAGTTTTATCACATAGATTCATAAGTTATCCCAAACAAGAGGACTCATCGGAGGCGCTTACTCCCAACCAGCAGGAAGTTTGCCAGAGATGATGGCCTTCAAATCTGCAGCTTCTTCTGGATATTTCTTCTCATATTTGCTAAATTTGGCGTTCCATTCAGCTTCAAGTGCTGCACCCTCTGGGACATGGCGGCTCCAATGACTTCACAATGCCACGAAAAAAAATTTTAGGCTCAAACCCAATAAATTAGGCCAACCTCATCCCAAAAGGATGTAAGGTTAGCATGCACTTATTCCTTCTCCTATATTTTTCGTCTCGTTTCTTTCTGGTCTACACGCACTATACCTTTCTTCCACCTTCCTTTTAAAAATGGAAAGACTATTCAACTTTGTATAACTAAAAGACTATTTAATCCTTATTTTTGAACTATTCGCCTTTTTTAATATCTCTCTTCATATTATTACACCATTAATGGAAAAAATAGGAAAGTCAAACATTTTTCATTTTACATGAAAAAGCTTATCAAGTGAAAGTGAGAGAAAGATATGGGACAGAGGGAGCATATATTAGACGTAAACCATGTGGGATACTCATGACCATATAAGATAGAGAAGTACCTCTTCACATCCTCAGGTACATGGAAAGGCTCAAAGGGGCCATCGATCCCAGTAGTGCACTTCCATGAACTTCTTTAGCTCCCAGTGCACTTCCATGAACACTCCAAGTGTTTGCTTTGTTTGGTGAGCCAAACCCAATGGTTGTTGTCACCTAAATGCATGGGAGTTTAGCCTATATATGCTAGGACAACAACGGCAAGAGGACTACTATAAAATCTTGATCATAAAAGATTGAACCTTGATCAAAGTGGGCTTGTCCTTGACAGCCTTTGCTTCCTTAATGGCAGTCCGGATGTCATCATATCCCGAGTTACCGTTCTTTACCCAGATGACATGCCATCCCAGAGCCTCAAACCGAGCGGAAACATCCTCTGTGAAAGCAATTTCAGTATCACCAATTCACCATCAATGGAGATATGGTTGTCATCATAAAAAGTGATTAGTTTTCCAAGTCCCCAGTGCCGAGCAAGGGAACAAGCCTCGTTTGAAATGCCCTCCATCTGGCAGCCATCACCAAGGATGGTATATCTGCACAAGATCAATGTGATTATTCAAAGAAGACAAGTGAGGGCACACAATGATCATAAACACAGAAACCTACACATGCCTTAAGAATGGGGAAGGGAAGGCCAGGTTTTACAAAATCTCTGTTGCTTTAGTTTTAAAACATGTGATGGCTAAGCTTCGTCCTAAATATAGATTAATCTTACCAAAAAAACTAACAGTTAATCCCAGTTTTGTCTCTTAAAAAAACATTGAAAGGAAATATTGCATATGCCTAAGCATTTTCAACAGCCTTGTGCATTTGCTTGGAAGTGAACTCGCTACTGAAATATGCCAATTTTCCAGTGAATTAGCAACAAAAGTATGCATTGCACGATGTTAAAAACAATAGAACATAAACATTTTATTGCAATCGTTTTACTTATTTTACAAAATAGTCATCTTTAACAATATTTTAGCTTCACAAAAAAATGGGGTAAATCATAAGAATTTTCTTCACTAAAATTCACTATTTAACCATTGCTTCATTAAAGTTGTGTGTGATTATATAAAATACTCCATAGAAATGATATAAAATCTCATAAATCTTCCAACACACAAACAAAAAGTCAAGAGCAGACCCAGTATAACCCTAACACTGTTGGAATCTGATATACCAAGATGTATGTAACCTTACCATTGTTTAAACAAACAATAAAAAATGTTGTTTCTGCAATAGTGACATAGGAATACTAATCAAACAAAAACATTCTAAAAGTAAACATGAAAAATTGACCAGGGTAATCAAACCTTCAAGTGATCAGCAGCCTTATCCTTATCAGGGAACACTCCAGTAGATTCAACCACAATTTCAGCACCAGCTTCAACCCATGAAATTTCTTCTGGGTTCCTGAGAAGTCTTCCCAAATAATCATAAACACAAGCACCCAATTCGTGAAACTATCCACAAGTTTATCATTACTCACTTGTACCTCAATCCAAACACTTTAACAGCCTTCTCTCTAAATAGAAGGGTCTGTCTTTTCATCAAGGACCTTCAATTCATGGTTTTTCCATTTCCCGTGCACAGTATCATACTTGATCATGTATGCCCATACAAAATCGCATATGGATATTACAAACGAGCAGATCTAAAGTATTACACATTAATCCATCCGATAACAAACTTCTAGATTGCCCTAGAAATGAAGAGAAATTAAGCAAAACTACAAAAAAAATGAACACACCATGCAATTAGTGCTGATGAACGGATCATTGACTCGGTTCTTTAAAATTTCCAAATTTGAAGACTTCCAAACCGCCATGGATTTTAATCTTGTCGTCAATCGCCCTTCTATATTGACGGCCAGATTTTGTCGACTAAGATGAAATTGGTCCGTCCGATCCTTTAATTTTGGAGCGAAAATTTTGGATGGCAATTTGCCCAATTTTGATTCTACTCTTATATACTACTAGATTCTAACCCGTGCGATGCACGGCGAGAAATTTATTTTGTAGAGAAACGAAATATATTAATTATATATCATATATTAATTATATATCATATAATTAATATATTATCATTTTTTAAAACATATTTCATTACTGTTACTTTTGTCAGAAAATGGAATTCATCTTAAAAGTTAAAATCCCTTGCATTGATACACCACTACTTGAACCTAGTTGATATACCTACCACATACATGAAACACATAACGTTAATCCGACTATCATACTATATGTAGTGTAATAAATGTTACAAAAATAGAAAAATAAAAGAATACCATCATTTTTTGTGCTGCACTCGTCAACAGATTCGCGTGTCAAACTTGATACAGTGACACTCGGCAATTGTTTCTGACGAACAGCACGGTCATTTTCTGTATTGACATATGTAAAATTATAAATGCTAAATAATGTATACTGTATAATTTTTACTACAAATTCGAACTAACATTAATTTCTCCATTGTTTCTTTGGTAACTATTATTTTTAAAATTTTTTAAATAACTTATAAAATTATAAAAAGGATCCGGAGTATGTTGTAATTGTGGAGAAATTTATTGAGCTATATATATATACTCCCTCCGTTTTTTAAAACACTTCCTCTTTCATTTTTTTCATTTCTAACAAAACACTTCCACTTTCTATTAAAAAATCACTTTTATCCTTACTTTTTCATACCCTACCTATCACATCATACTTTATCTCTAATAATCTATCCATCACATCTTACTTTTACCTATCACATCAAGGGTAAAATTGGAAGTCAACTACAATTTAATACTTCCTTATTTTTACACAAAGTCAAAATAGGAACACTTTTTCCAAACGGAGGAAGTATATATAATAGTGATGAGTATGGTAGATATAATTTGGTCCAAGCAATATAATATAAAAGTCATGCAAAAGGGGCCCAAATACAAATTTCTCAAGTCAAAATTTGCTTTTGAAGTAAACAATAATAAAAAGGAGTCCTACTACTATAAAAGCGGGTCTGGTCTTAAAAAAAAAGCCTAACATATACCCACCCCAGCCGAAAATTTTAGGGGACTTCAAATAAAAACCCTCCACCCCATCCCTTTTTACATTTCTCCTCCTCCTCCTTAAACCTCCGCCCCGCACTCACTCACTCTCTCTCTCTATATGAACATTGTTTTTTATTTTAATCGTTTTTTTAAAATTTTCCATTTCAATCTCAACCCATGCAAGTTGTTATAATTTCTATTTCTTACTTGTAAGAACGAATTTTTCAATCCTTTTCCGATGGATGATTATAATATTTTCATGTATATTTTTACTTTTTTAATACTTTTTTCCAGATTTTATATTTTTTTTACGTTGAGGCAGATCGATTCTTATAGAAAGTGAAGTCTGCAACCCAAGATCTAGTTGGGTAAAAGGTATTTTCATTTTTAAATCCTTTTTGTTCTTATTTATATTTTGATCGAGCAATGACAAATTGAGCTCGAAGAATATTTTAATCTATTTATACACATATTCATTGTAAGAATGAATTTTTCAATCGTTTTTTGGTTGAATCTATGGTAAGATGTTCTCGACGCAGATGGATTGTTTTTGAAAATGAAGTCTGCTATGTATTCTCGAGATCCATGATTGTCATGTATTTGTTGATTTTTCAATTTTTTTCAAGGTTTTTTTATAATTTTTTTACCTAAAGGCAGATCGATTCTCATAGAATGTGAAGTATGTAACCCAAGATCGAGCTGAACAAAAGTTTTTATAATTTTTATATAACATTTTTCTGGTTTATATTTTTGATCGATGAATTTAGCTCGATAAATTTTTAATCTATTTAAATGCATTATCCTTTTATATTTATCAAGGAGTGTATAATTTCTTTAATTTTTTGTGAGCTACGATCCTAGATCTTGTATTTGCTTGATAGATCTATATGTTTTGTAGAAGATTTTTGAAAATGATAAGATGTTCTCTACGCAGATTGATTGTTTTTGAAAATGAAGTCTGCTATGTATTCTCGAGGTCCATAATAGTTAATGCATGATTATATTCATAATCATCTATTTGTTAATTTTTCCATGTTTTTCAAGGCTTTATATTTTTTTTTACCTTAAGGCAGATCGAATCTCGTAGAAAGCGAAATCTGCAATCCCAAGATCTAGCTGAATAAAAGTTGTCATAATTTTTATATAACATTTTTTTGGTTTATTTTCTGGATTGAGCAATGACAGATTGAGCTCAATAAATTTTTTAATCTATATATGCATAATCCTTTGATATTTATCAAGGGGTGTAGTCTTGTACGTTGGGAAGTTGTGCGAAACACAGAAATTCTTGAGGGCGCAAACTCTTCCTTCCTTGATTCTCTATTTCTCTGTTTGAAATATTCCAGTTCTTGATTGTTCACTTTTGCATGAATTCGTGTGCCCTGTTGAAAAGAAATATGTTATATGTAAAACCACTCCAGGAATTCATGTTAGACCCCGAAGAATTGAATAAATGCAACTTACAAATCTGTCGTGAAAAACAATATCCATCGTCCTGGTTCCACTGTCTTGGGAAGGAATGTGTTGGACACAGACAGCCCGGACCTTGCGAAAAACAATATCCATCGTCCTGGTTCCACTGTCTTGGGAAGGAATGTGTTGGACACGGACAGCCCGGACCTTGCGATCATTAATGTCTGTCCACATACCCTCTTGTACTTTCTTTCTGGAATTACTCATTCTCTCAACAGTGATGCTCTCAACAATAAGAAGGATGAATGGAAAACTGGTTTGGATTTGTATGTTTTGTGGTCTACTTATAACCTTGAAGGGAGTGAGAAGTTATTAAGGGGAGAGTGGGCTGTAGTGGAAAAATATTAATTTAATAAAATGCAATGTGGGTTACTGCTTGGGGGTTACTGCTTGGGGGTTACTGCACGGAAACACTGCATTTGGAGGAGTGGGAAGTTGTTAGATATAAAAATAATAGTAATAACATTACATTATTATTAGATTACTCCGTATTATAATATAATTATAATCTTCATCAATGTAATTGGCTGTGGAGTATAAACAATATATCATTCTCAGAGAATTTATTTATTATTTGTATTCTTTTTATTAATTTAATTAAACTGGAAATGTAAAATTTAAACTCTTTTTCAATTTATTTTGTTATGCCAATTTGTGTGATAAATATAAAAAAACTTAAAAAAAAATTTTCAAGTCGAATTGCCAATTTTGTGATAAATTAAGTAAAAACTTAAAAAATTGTTTTCAAGTGGAATTGTTAAGAAATTTATTTATGAAATTAATTAAATTAAAAAAATCGTGTTTTCAAAGAAATCAGTTTATGGGGAGTTTTGGAACTTAAAATTTTTTTATGATAAAAGTAGGCCCATTTCAATGAATTAAATTTTCCTTTGATTTTTTCTGGCCCATACCTGTAAATAGGCCCATAAACATAGGCGGGAAAAAAATTCTGCTGCCTTTGTATAGAGATAGATTTCTGTACCTGAGTATTTATCTAATTTTAACTTTTTCAATTAACTATTTTTAACTTTTGACCTATAATTAAATAAAATATATATTATATTTTAATTAAATAAACTAATATTCTGAAGATATTTGATATAATAAACATAATAAAACTCTTTTGTATCAATATTAAATATCATTTTTATTTAATTTGAAATTAATGTTTACCAATTTTGAACAAAAAAAGTCAAAACTAGACAAATACTCAAAAATTGAAGAAATATATAATAGATAGGTCCGTTCTAATATATATTTATTCATATTATTCTAAGCATACTTTTATAGCTTATCGTGATGAGTTGAGATAATATAAATTTGGTCCGACAAATAGAGAATTTGGTTGGGTGGAGTTTTATCTATACTTTATTTAAAAAGAGGTGAATGTTTTCCCGCCCAAACATGAGACTCATATATGGAAAGTGTTGACAACAAAAATGATAGTTTAATTATTTGGCCTTATTGTTTTCCTTTTATTTTAAGTATGTTTTCATTTTAATTTAAATGTTACACCATTTAAATACTTAAATTAAATTAATTTAAATTGTAGTAAACCATTGGGGAACTAAAGTATGGAAATAAAATACACTCCCATTTAAATATTAAAATAAAATTAAAAAACTTTTAATTAATAAAGTATGAGCGGGATTAAAATCATTAATTTCTAAAACTACAAATTAACTATTTATTACAATTTACAAGCACAGACGTGTAAAAATGGTAAGTTTCTAAAATAGATTAGAAAATATATATGGTACGGTAAGTAAATGATAACATTTAAATAAAATAATAAAATAAAAAACTACAAATTAATATTAATACTATCATTTACAAGCATGGAAACATTTTAAAATGACACGTGTTCTAATTAGAAAATTAGAAAAATAAATAGTTATGGTACGGTAAGCAATTGGCACCATTTAAAAACGAAAATAAAATAAATGGTTAGTGTTCTAAAATAAATTAGAAAATAATGTGGTTTGGTAAGTAATTAGTACGGTTTAAATATGAAAATAAATAAAAAAAAACTGCAAAATTAATATTAATACTATAATTTATAAACATGAAAATGTTTTGAAAAAGGTAAGTGTTCTAATTAGAAAATTAAAAAATAAATACAATACAGTATGTCACCACGATAAGCAAATGGTACCATTTAAACACAAAAATAAAATAAATGGTAAGTGTTCTAAAATAAATTAGGTAAGTGTTCTAAATAAATTAGAAAATAAAATAAATATCAAAATGGTAAGTGTTCTAAAATATAATAGAGAATAAATATGGTACGGTAAGTAAATGATACCATTTAAATACAAAAATAAAATAGAAAACTGCAAATTTTTACTATCAATTAATACTACAATTTACAAGCATGGAAACATGTTAAAATGGTAAGTGTTATAAAACAAATTTAAAGATAATATGGTACATAAAGTAAATGGTACCATTTAAATGCAAAAATAAAAAAATTATAAATTAATAGTATTAATACTATAAGCATGGAAACATGTAACAATGGTAAGTATTNATAAGTATAAAATCGTAAGTGATCTAAAATAAAATAGAAAATAAATACCATAGGGTAAGTAAATGGTACCATTTAAATACAAAAATAAAACTAAAAAAATACAAATTCCGAAATAGATACATTAATATGTTGAATTATTATTTAAATAAGTCAAATTATTGAATTATTGTCAGGGACAATATCTGAAACATGTTGAATTATTGTTATTACGGAAACCGGTATTTAGTCATGGGAAAGTGTTTGTTGCAGTTTTAAAAGTAATAAATCACAATGACTTGAAGATTCTGATATACAACGAAGTAAATGCTCACATGAATTATACGAGTGATGTAGTTTATAAATAAGTCTTTCGAAATTTGTAAATCATTTTACTTTTGTACTTTAAAATAATGAACTTTCTATATTTCATTATATACCAATTTATATTCCTAAAAATGATCTTAATTCAGTATCATAACTATGAACGCACGGGTGTGATACTAGTATTCTATAGTACGAAAGAGAATCCTACTAAAAAAGTTCCCGCCCATATGTGCTGCACCAACGAATTAACTGCAAGACATCACTTCCGGATATTAATTAAAAACTGCAACTCCACAACCACCCACTCTTTCACTTCACAGCATATCAGTTGCAGCCTTGCAGAGGAGGAGGGTATACGAACAGAGCACTATAGAAAAAATGTGGGCACGGCTGCTGCTTCTGTTCATCCTTTACCCTCAATTGCGCAAACGGATATGAACTCTAAGCGGCCGAAGATTTGCAGAAGTTACCACTCGAGCTTGATTCCTCTGAAGTTGCAATCTTCGCGACGCCCTCAGAAATCCTCGAAACCCTAATTTCACGATCCTCTCCAATACAAGTCTAGGCTTCGATTTCGTCCACAACCACATCAAGAGCTCCAGCATCATCATCACGGATCCATTGCAGGCTTCTTTAACAAGCATACGGAATCGTTTCCCTTATCCAATTAAATCCGGGGCAAGGACTTGAACAATCGCACGATGGCATCCAGAGATCTAAACAAATTGGTGATGACGGTGACTGAGGGTACATACGACTCTGGGTTTTGGACATTGACCAGTAGGTCATTAGCCTCACTTTTACCCATTAGTATATGATGGGATAGGTAAACTTTTAATATTCAAGCATTTATAAAGGTTTCATTTCAGTTCATGCTCTCAAATTCATACTATGATTAGTAAATTCATATGAAGTGTTTTTATGAGAACTTCATGATTATAATGCATCATGTCATCCTCCTATTTACAACAGCAGCAGAAAAAAGTCCCGCTCAAGTTCTAAAGTAACCGTAGATGCACGTTCTTCCACACCTCTTTTTATCAACCTACCGCAAGTGAAAACATATGTATAAAATAGTAATTTACCTAAATAGGACTAAAAGATAACGACTTTCTCAATATAGGACCATATGTTTTTATTTCTCAATGTAAGACCATTGGTCAAAATCTATTAGTCATTATTCAACTAAATGTCCAACATTACTTGGACATTGTTCTTCTCATTAGTCATTATTAAGTCTTATTTGAGAAAATAAAAAACTTTATGGTTTTGATGTGTATGGTTTTCTGAATTTAAAATTAAATGCACATAATTAGTTTGATGAATTGTTAATCAAATATAGGATAATTTATCTAACAAGTACTGCTTGTTAGCCAAGTATCCTGTACCAAGCACACACTTAAACTTATAAAGTTATGCTTGGAATTGGATTGAACCTATTTTTGAGCTCGTGCATTTGCAAGTCGCAATTGTGTTCTTCTTAAAGATCATGCAATATTGGCTGCAAGTGATGTAGGAAGAACGGAAAGGAACATGTAAGATAGGCCTAAGAGAGTGTGCGACCAGGCGATGACGACAACCAGAGCAGACAACTCTGGTGTTTGGACATCAAGGTAGCTAGACTTTCTTATCTGGGACAATATCATGTTCGGTGGTGATTGGATGCGGTGTATTAGTTTGGGTCAATTCCTATTCAGGTACCTCTATGGCTCTAAGGTTACTTTTATATGGCTTCGAATTCTATGGCATGCTTTATACTAAGTGCAACAAACTATTGGTTGTTCCTCTCTAGCTAACTTTATTATTTGACATGTTTGAGATAGGTAACCTCCAAAATTGATCTACATATAAGTAAATGGGTCACCCATTCAGGGGAACTTACCACCTATATGTTACAATTGATAACAAAGTGTCTATTAATGTGATTAAATTGATAGAGTATAACTTTAAGGGCTGATTTTGGGAGTGAAACAGCCTGGGAATATGAGTTTCAAGATAAAGCTGAAGCTCTAGGGGTTAATTTTTGAATGGAAATTGATTTACAAGCTGATTTTCAAAAGAAAATTAAAGTTTTAGAGGCTGATTTTTTAAAGGAGTCGGAATTTAAACTTGATTTTCTTAGGCACCTTTAAAAGCTAAGTTTGAAAAAGAATTTGAATTAGGGACTGAATTTACAATTTTAGTGGCTGATTTTTCAAGAGTATGATGCTGATGATGATTTTCAAAAGTAACTTGTACCTTTAAAGGCTGATTTTGAAAAAGAAGTAGAGTTTGGAATTGATTCTCCCAAAAAATTTAAAAATTTTGTGGCTGATTACAAAAGTGAAACTGAATATGGATTAGAATAACTTTTTCATGATCTTAGTGGGTTCCAAAGTTATGAATCTGACCGTTTAGAACATAATCAAAATAATAATGTTGGCATTGATTTTGATGTTGATATCGCTTCCTTGAACTTGAAAAGGAACAAACTGAATTTGATGTAAGAGCTATAAGAGATTATTCAAAGGTTGTTCAAATCAAATTGCTAGAGGTTTTAACATATGAAAATTTTCAATTCTATTCTACTTTTAGAAACCTTATGTTTGGAAAAGCTATATTTTCCTTTAGGCCTAATATGGCTTATGTGCAAAGGTTTCTAAAAGTTGAATCTGAAGATGAATCACTGATTTTAACAGAATCCCTACTCCAAAGTGGACTTCATCAGATTGCATTTAGCATAAAAACTCGGTCAAATAGGTTTAATTTGCAAGGAATTAAGTTTTTCATGTTTCAATGCTTGAAATAAACTCAAAATGTTGTTTCTTTATTTGAGGTTAAAAAGATCTCTTTTAGCAACATAGGAACACTTCCTTTTGAGGTTGATTTTAATCCCCTTCTTAAAATGAAAGTTAAAGAAGGGGCTGATTCAACTGATTTGATATGCATTCCTATTTTAGGAATGAAAATCAGGTGACCAAAGCATTTGCTTTATTATCCTGTCCACTGAGGTAATGCCTTTGCATTCTAATGTTTGTTTCATTAAATGAGTTTCTGTATTACTTACAAACAAAGATAAGGTCCAATGGGGTTTTTACTTTCAGATAGATCAAAGTGACAAGTATGTATCCCCTGACATTCACTCACGTCCCATAGGCGGCAGCGAATGGCATTCATGGTTCTTAACTGTATACTATCGAGGCAAAACATCCATTTGAAATTAGTGTTATTTTGACATGGCTTAGGTGGTGGTGAATGACATTCGTGGTTCTTAGTTGGAGGGCGAGTCATCAGATCAACCTAAAGGGAAGATGCATTCACACTGGAAGTCTAAATACACTCTTGTGAAATGCCAACTTATTCCTTGGCAGTGACTTTGTCTTTGAAACCAGAGACTAACATCGAAGGCCGATCACGTCCGAGAGAGCAATCGAAACCAATAAGGTATCACCTTTGGACTAATAGTATGGATCCAAGTAATTCCTTGGAGGGATAGGGAAGCTTAGCTTACAAAAATTTTCCTTCTTATTTGAATAGATAAATCATTGTTTCCTGAAACCAAAATAATTCTCTTCCACATCTTTAGAGGATGAAGATTGTAGCTGCAAAAGCAAAGGATTATTTTATGCCACTTGCTTATGCAGACTGTTGGAGTTGGTTGTGGAAATACAAGTCACTCTATGGCATAATTCTACCACCTGTGTTTACAATATTTTTTTATTTAAATGCAGATGATATTGCTCCAAAAAAACTAAAAAAAAAAAGAAATGCATTTTATATATTATTTGTGGTGCTTCGTAGTTATGTCTATATGAGCAAAAAGAAGATGAGATTGATGCTTGTGATAGTGCAAATGGAGTAACTCTACAAGGCACAACCATCGATCAGCAATCCTCATTGGTAATAGGTACTGTGATAGTTGTTTCAGTAAATCCCTCACAAAAGAAGGAAGCCCCTACCTCTTTTACAGAGTATGTTTACTTGGCTAAGCCAACATCTTTAGCCCCTAAAGTTCACAACCTGTCAATTCATCTAGAAACTAAAGTCCTTCAATAAAAAAAATCAAGAAAGGATGAAAAGAACAATGTTTTTCTTGAGCTAGCCTCTGAGATACAAATTTCTTGGGGAGATGATGATCTGTTTTTGATTCCCAATAAGTGCGGCAAAGAATTCCTCACATCTATGTAGTCACACTTAATACATGTGTAGTAAATTGTTTTTTTCACGTTTACAAGTGTGGCGAACAATAATTTAAAGTGCGGTGAAAAACCAAGTTTCTTGTAGTGTTATTCACACATTCACTGATCTAACTAATGTGTGAGAGGGATGTCAAGATGACAATAAATTAAACAAACACACTCCAAAATGCACAATGTTCTCCAAGACCACCCCAAAGAGATCTAGCTACAATGCCATGGTAGGGAATGAAAAGCAGCCATTCACTAAGAAATGGGAACTAAAAAATAGCCATTCTCTAAGAAACGAGATGTCAATAACATTTTGAAAAGGCATTAAATATGTTTCTCCTCACAGTACCTAACTTCCAGACATCCGAATGGCTTATAAATTGTGACATACTCCGTATTTGTTAACCCTATAGATAAGAAAATCGTTGGCCCTTTTAGATATAGGTGTTTCGAAATTAGATTTGTTTGAAACATTAATACTCCTAAAAAATAGTACCCCTCTGTCCTATATTTTTCTTTGCGTTGTGCAAAAATAAATAAATCTCAAATTTTTGTAACCAATTTTATTAAAAGATTGGTATAAAAATAAAAAAAAGAAACATATATACTAAAAAATTACATCAAAAGTTAAACAAAACAAATAGTGACAAAAATATTTTATTTTATTATATAGGTCAAGAAAAATGTAGTTACATACAAGTTTTCGTAAAGTTTGAATAATGCTCTACCAAGAAAATATGGAAGGGAAGGAGTGCTTAGATACATAAACCAATGTAACATTACTAATACTTTACGTTTACACTTTTGGTTGTCTAAATTCACTTTTATACTGCGTAGTATATTCTCTGGCAAAATCTCAAGATTCTGATACAATAATTAAACAACAATAATTTCTAAAATTTAAAAACATATTTTAAGTTTTAGATTTAAGTTATTCAGTATAGACTTATTATTTAGTTATTAACTTTAAAATGTCCAATACAATTTGCAATATATTTAAAACATTTAACCCATTCTTATATGTATGTTGATCTGATTGAATTTAATAAAATTTATTACTTCCATATTATTAAAATTATTACTTCCATATTATTTTATACTATTAACAAAAAATAATACTAAGTACTTTGTATTTACACTTTTGAACTCTATCATTGTTTTACATTAAGAGTTTGATACAGATAGTTAATTATAATATTTTAATTAGTTATATTATTATTTAGTAGTTGTTTATTATTATCTATTGATGGTTTAGGGTTTTAGTATGGGCCCGAGCCCGTTAGGTCAATTATGGTTTTCTGCGTCTTTATATATTGTATCCTTTCTTGATTATTGATTCATTGAATAATAATAACGTATTATTGATTCAATAATCAATAATCAATAATCAAGTCCAAAAATCAATGTAACCGAAAGCATTTTATTTTACTATATTTACCGGTTTTGTTGATATATTCAAATTATTTCTTAAAAAAATACACCAATTCATTAGCTGTATTCATTTACATTTATTGCTTGTTTGATTTCTTTTGTTTACAATTTAAATTTAATTATTTCATGAGACATATGATACGGAGCAAATGGAACGAGTAAATGACATGTGCATTGAAAATAATTTGGCCGTGGGAATATGTACATTGGGAGTTCACTTTAATTCATTTTTATTTATTTAAAGGGAAATCATTTTACGGATCTATTATATATATATATATATATACACGGTAAGTCTAAAATGACACCAGTGCTACTGGTGTCATTTGCTTACACCAGTTCGTTTGGAGTAGTAAAAACGACGGTTCCTACCCGCCATAATC